GGGGGGGGGTCCTTCCCTTTATTTCTCAGTTTAATCCTGCAGGGGCGCTGGGCTACGTACCCGAACCCCCACAGACCCAATCCGTTGAAAAACAAATGGCAGCAGCCCCCCCATTTTTTATTCAACGGGAATTTAACGGGGTTAGGGGGAATTAAACGGCTTCTAACGGCAGTTTAATTCCAGCCCCCCCGGTTAAAAGGACACTCAGGTCAATAGGTTGCATTGTCAATCCGTAGGCTGGGTAGTAGCTGTGTGATCGTAGTCTAGGCGCTGAGTGCCAAGTAGGGGGAAGGGCTCTGGATACATCTGTTGGTGGTGGCGAGAGTATGCTCTCATTGACATTTGGATTCGGTGCTTTGGTTCTCCATTGGTGGAATATCAGTGAATACCTTCTTTCTGGACAACATTCCACTTTCTGGTTTTCAATGTGGTTTTGCATTATGGAATTTGTCATTCTGCTATGGCTCATTTTCTTTGCAATACTTTTCCCAGAAAGATTAAAACGAAACCCATGGGCCTTGTAATTTTCAGATTGTTAACTATTTATTAGAAAAAGGAAAGGGCAAATTACGCTGGAGTCACAAAAACGAGTTATAATCGCACTATGGGCCAAGATACAATTTTTTTTTTTCTTCTCATAATTATTTGATATTTGACTTCTTTCATCTAGTTCCACTTGTGGATTCGAACTCAGGCCTGTTGTTCAACAGTTCGTGGCTGCACCGACGGTCCTCCTCCTGTTGGTTACTACCCTCTTCTCCAAACATGACACCCCATCACCCACCGCAGACAAAGGGCCTCCCCACACCACTGTCCAAACCAAAAAGAACGAATGCTTCTTTCCGTAGAAAGTGGTAAGGGCATACTCCCATTGATACATCTTTGCTGAGAAACAGGCTCAGCGTCCTTTAGAAGTACATAGGTGAAAATAAGAAGAAATAAGAAAAACCATGATCATGCGACAGTCTGGGAAAAACCCTGTTGCTGGAAACCAGGTCCAGCGTCCTGCCCTTCTTTTTGTCATGCGGCCAGGGTCAGGACAAAGGACGGAGCCACTGGGGAGCACCAATGGGAACCTCCTTCTGTTTGCTTGCCTGGCCCCAGTCGCCGTGCTGTCCCTGAAGAATTTCTTCAGATTTTCTGGGAGAGGCTCGGCTTTTACTGCAGATGGCGCCAGATGGATGATCCATGGGTATTTGGGTACTTAGAAAGTGCCCTGGGGCCGGGGTCAGGGACCCAGGTAGCGTTTCCTCCAGGGACAATGGGTGAAGGGGAAGGGGTCTGCGAATTCTTGGGCTGGACACAACGGGTCTCTAGGGTCAATCTTTGTCCATTCATGAAAATACAACTGATAATCCCTTACAATCTCTGCCTGATGTCCCCCTTGCAGTCCCACTTCCTCCTCTTGTCGATGTTCCCGTTGGTGTTCCTGCTGCCCATCTCCTCTCACATCCCCTACCCAACTCACCCTTGCCACCCAGCCCTCCCTCTTCCCTCCCAACTAGTTTTCGAAGAACTGAGAGATAATTCTATTGACATCGCCCCTGGTGTGCACTTGGTTCAATTTTACCTTAGCCGCCCCCCACTGGGCTGTAATCTCGTACTGAACTAATAGTCGTAATTGCTCCATGACCTCCCCATCTTCCACCCTTGCTCCCTCTACTTCCAGAATACACCTTCTCCACCATAAAACCCACAGGACGACGCGTCTACCCAGTCAAAACATGTTCCTGAGAATGTGTTTCCTCGAATTTGGGGATAATGTCCCAGAAGTATGGCCCTCCAGTCCCACGGCCACAATGAGCTTGGTACCATGTGTCGCTAGATCCTCTGCCACCACCTCCATAGTAATACCGCCGGGGGGCACTGAAGGAAGATGTGCTTTATCGTCTCGGAGCGCTTTTTCCCAAGGTAGCACTAGAGACATTTGTGGCACCATAGCAGTGCTCGCCCCTGTTGCTCCAAATGCGTGTGCTCAACCAGCCAATAATCGGTTGGAAGGCACCAGATCCGACGGTTCGCAATTGGCCACTGTAGGGCAAACATATTTGCCGGCCTCTTTCCATAATCTCCAAACCACCTTATGGGCTTGAGCAGGCCTCGGTCTATGTTGAGGTGGTGATACCATCCATCTTCTACCACATCTCGCAGTCTAGGTCTAGATTTGAGCATTCGGTATACTGACTTGGTTTTTAGGTTGGCTAGTGCTAACATCCTTGCCTTTCCCTCCCTTCTTGAGTTTGTCGCGTCTTTCCAACTTCCAAGACCAACGCCACTCATCGGGATCGAAGGGAAGATCGTCAATCGGGGTCATTGGCCGGTAGGCCCTCCATCCTCGTCCCTCGTCAATCACTCTGACACAATATACTTCCTTTTTCTCTTTCCAGATAAAAGGTTGTCGGCTCCCTCGCAATTGACCGTTCTCCTGTATGGAAAAAAATCCGATCAGCACTTGTGTTTGGTCTACTAGGTGTACTCGCCCTACATGATCTTCGTGCCCAGGTAGCCCTACCCAGTCTCCTTCTTCCAAGCAGGGGCCCTCCGAAGGGTGATATACCAATGGAGGGGGAAGCTATCAATAAGTTCATCTAGTGCAGACTCAGTGAAGTGGCAATACCGCAACCATGTACACATTCTTTCGACACTTTTCCAACTCCTTGCGTCCATGTCCAGAGGTCTCCTACCCTCCAGGGCCCACGTTTCACCCAAC